AGACACCTGATAGTAGAAATAAACCTAAAAATGAAAAAGTTTTATTTTCTCTCTTTTTTTAGACCTAATCGGGCATAGCTAAAATATTGATATTAGAGATATTCATCAAGTTTTTACAGGATAGAATACTTTTAAACTCGATCTCAGTTCGAGAAAAATAGAAAAATATGTAACATGATTGACACTTTTATTCATTCAATTTATAACAAATCAATTATTACTAACAGATATAAGAGCCATATAAGAAACAAAATACACCATTAAGTATATTGATGAAAAATAAAATTAGAAAAAGAATATGTTTATTTCTTAATTAGCATTTGAATTTGACAAATAACTTCATCTTGTGAAAGATCATCACAATTAATAAGATACGTATAAGGTTCATCTTCCTGATTTATAGGTAATTCAAGTACTGCAATTTGTGAATCTAATAATAAAGGATTCATGAAATGTTCATGTTGACGTCGAAGTAACCGATTATGTAATGCTTCTCGTGATAATGTTAATATAATAAGATAAACAGCTTCTTTTGGCATGTCTGCTTGAGCATTAGGATTTGATGAACCAGTTAATAAGATGTGTCGATAGGATCTTTTTAAAGCTGAACATGTCATAACACAACTTCGATTTGTTAATAGATATTTTTTTAATTGTTCATGAAGAAGTTGTAACCAAGGAAGACGATCTTCATCTGTTAATGCTATACCCGCTGTCATTTTATCAATATTCGCTTTAGAATGAAACTCATCGGCTTCAATGTAATCCCAACCATATAAATCCTTTAGTCTTTTAGCTGTAGATGTTTTACCAACAGCTGTTACACCTCCAATAATGACAATAGGCATCTGAGAAACAAAAAGAGAAAATACAACATTATTTATTCATTAATATATATCTGATATGTTTTAATTGCTCAATAAAAAATATGTATGTTATGAAACAAAAAAAAAAGCTAAACTGAAAGCCATTGTTGAAAATATTCATTCATTTTTTCTCGTACATTGGCACGTCCGACATTAACTCTATAATATCAAAAATAGAATAATAAATAATAACTTCGATTTTTTCATTTACATACGTTGGAATTATTCTTTTTGGTTTAAGATATTGAATAAAATATTTCAATTCATCAAAAGAACTATGTTCACTATAGGGAAAACCTAAGTATTGACATAATAAACATAATGCATTATTTATAAATAGCAAAAGAATCAAACCATAGATAGTAATATTTGATGATTTCGATTCAATGGAATAATGTTTTGATCCATTTATTGATCGAGGAGTTGTCCAACCTGTTGGTTTTATTCCAATTATTTTATTATATTTTAATGAATATTTATCCAAATGTGTTTGTAGCATCTTTTATTAAACATAAAAGAATAGATTTTCTTTTATTTACTCAAATCTTACCGGTTGAGAAATTGAACCCATACCAACAACATGAACATTTGTTTCATCGGGATTTGTTGTTAAACGTGTTGACAAATCAGTATTTTCTAATTGATTAAGTATACGAAATTTCCTTGTTTCAACAAATATTTTGCAATCCAGTGCTTTTGCAATAGCTAAATAATAACGAAATATTTTCATCTAGTTTATAAAAATAGATGTGCCTATGATTTACCATGAAATATTCGCTCTTTACCAATAAGATATGTTCCAATAGCAATCAATGTTCTTGCATTTTCTTTTAATGAATCTAAGACTAATTCAACAGCACTTTTGATGACTTCATCTTGAGATGGAAAACAATAATGAGAATCACAATAACTAAATTGTATAATAATATTTAAAAAAAAACAAATAAAAAAAATCAACGTACGTTGTATCAAGATAAATTGTATCTATTTGATTAGGTTGAAGTAATGGATGTCTTAAAAGATGTGGTGCTGCTCGAAAATCTCCCGTATGTAAAACTAATTTACCATTTGGAAATCGAAATAAAAACATATTTGAACCGGGACAACTAAAATCAATGAAAATAAAGTTTTCCTTTATATATGTATACGTTATATATTTACTGATTGGCATCTAAAAGAGCTACATCGATACCATGAACAGTCGTAAACACATCCATAGGAAGAATAGTCATATTTTCTGGTCGAATACCTAATTGACTTTTACACAAATTGCAAGTAATCTATGAAAGGAAAAATAAAGTAGATGATCAGATCAAATAAGTAATTGACTAACTTGATTTGAATAAAGCATATTAGAAAACTTTTTATTCAATCCACCATAATGATCCGAATGAAAATGTGAAAGAAAATAAGCTTGTATTCCATCGATATTACCAAAATTAAATGCATCAATACAAAATGTTGTACCTAAAGTATCCGATTATAATTTGTATAATGCGTACAAATATTTTGTCATTTAGAAAAAGTACCTAGAATGATAGAGCTAGCAAACGTCTACAAAATGTAACGCCTGCCAGTTCTCTTCAACATGTTTTGGCTAAGAGACATCAATCTTATGAAAGATACAAAAGCATTTTTTTCTCTTATCTAGCATGAAAACATCATTTTTGTGCTTTTCGTAAAGTTGATTCATTTTAGTAAAAAAAAAAAAAAAAAGAGCTAAAACAAAATTTTCGTTTTGTAGAAAATTTTTCGCTCTATCAATTCGAATCATTCACACAGAATTAAGATGGCAAATTCTAGAATCTGGAAAATTTTGGTTTTGATTTTTCTGAAATTCTATCATCGGAATAAAATTGAGAATAAATTTGATCGGATCATCTTTGGAGTTACTGCATATACTCAAGAAGATTCACTTTACCAGGTATTTTTTTGTAAAATGGACATGTTTTTTTAACAGCAGCTGTTGGTGTATTAAATCGATAATAATTCGATGATTGATCTTTGTCTAATTCAGACCATTGTTGTTTTAATTCATCATCGACTGGTTTCGATTTGATTGATTTACTAAATATTTGTTTCCATATTGATTTACTATCGACACTAGTTGATGATGTTTGTGTGGTAATTGTATTAACTGATAAAGAACTGTTCGATTCATCATTCCATTGAGAGAAAACTTCTTCTTCATCAATATCAATTCCATCAAGAGATACTGTTCGTGTTTGATTAATTGTTATTTCTTGTTTGATGCTTGATGGCGAAGAGACTGTTCGAACTAATGTACTTGAAGATTTTGACTTAGCTACTGTAAAAGATTTCTAAAATAGAATATAAAAACGTATTTTATAATAAGACACTAATCAGAGGATTTATGAAACAAAAAAAACTTGTCTTGAATATAAATGACAAAGTCGCATTAGTATCAATGAGAAAGCTCAAGTAAATCAATGAAACGTAAGCAGAGAGTAGCTAATCTTCATTTGGTATTAACTTTTAAGTCCACGTGTTAAAATTATTATAAATTCTAATTTTTCAAGATTTCTACAAATCGAATCAGAACTTTACTTTCTTGAGAATAAATAAGAGTCAGAATAATGATTAAGATGATGTTCAGGATGTGAGTGTCGAGTAACGGTGGTGATAATGTTGAAAATACTCTCAGGAGTACGTCATTGATATGTAACAAATACTCACTGTTACCATAGCCGAGAAGATCCTATTTTGTTAATCTCTAATATCTGCTTTTGTGGTGATGATTTTCAATTAGCCATGTCAATAATTCACTAACTACTGCTTTCTTGTTTATTGTCATAGGTTATTTCTGTCAAAAGTCAGAAAACAATAACCAGAGATTCAGTGAAAGTTAGTCATAATTTAAGATTTCCCATTACATCAATATAATTCAGATATGATGTTCTAATTGAGTATGGCGTGATTCAAAGATACAGGTTATTCAGCGCACAATTTTTCTATATTTACTCTATTGTTTAGATGTAATAAAACGTATATATATGATTGTATTGCGTATTTTTAATTTACGATATTCTGATGCCAACAGTTCGAGCTAAAAATTGAACGCTAGGATATCATCCTAAAGTCGTTCGATCGAAATATAAAATTAGCAGTAAAAAGAAAAATATTCTGCAAAATTTATTGAATCTACTGAAGCGAAATGTTTAACATCTAAAATTTTCAATTTCAATCTAACTGAATTCGTTGATCAAAACAATTCTAATTTACCGTTTGTGTTATTTTTTTCTTTGATTGTTTTGATGAACTTTCATTTGATGATGAAGTAATCATTTTTAAATTCCATTTTCTTTCTTCATTACCATTATCATTACTACTAGTTCTTATAATTGATAATGATGTTTGTCTAGTATTACCTATTATTGGTTGTTTATTCACTATTTGTAATGGTTTATATTTTCCTAATGAAGATGAACGTTGACGTTTATTAGTTTCATTCATTTCTCTATCTTCATCATCAGATGATATTGTTATAACTCTTTTTATTGATATTATTTTCTCTTCATTTTCATCTTCAGTAAAATAACTATTTTTAGTATTATCCATAAAATTAAAAAAAAATCTAAAAGAATGGATCTTATGTAAATTTCTTTTATTCTTGTTTTTCTTTTATTGCTTTATTAATCTATTTTAAGTTTATCTAAATCAAGATAACATGCACAAAATTCATAGAAGATATTATTTGCTTGTCGATGATTGATATATTTATTGAATTTGAGTACATTATCATCTTCACGATAGATTAAATTGAGACTATTATTATCGGGTATGACACGTAATAACTAGAAGATTAAAAACAAAAAGTTTCAAATTAAAAAATAATACAACAAAAATTTTATCATACTGTTTCATCTTCATTTTTAATGGTGTATACAACATCACCACCACCAACTGTATCATCAGTCTCATCTAAATAAATCAATTCTGTATCGATAAAATTTTAATATCAAGAAGTACCTGAATGATAATTAAAGAAGATCATAACATCAAGTGTTCCATCTTTTTCTGCATTATCATTACCATCATCAACATTATTTTCTTCATTATTATCCGTATCAAATGATAAACTATAATATGTATGTTTCCATCTTCGTAATTCAAAGTGCCATCGTGGTACAGATCGAGAAGAATTCGTTGACGAAGCAGCTTCAGCTTAATAAAGAAAAAAGTTTTTGAATAGATTAAAGTAAAATACGCTACTAGTAGGATTTGATTTTGTTTTCTTAGGTGAAGGTTCATATTCTGTTTCTTCATCGTCATCATTTTCTGATGTCAAACCCGTAAGTGACCCAAGAATAGTAAACATTGGTTCAGAACCAAAAAGTTCAATAAGATTTTTTAGTGCTGATGGTAAAGCAGTGACATCAGCAATATCATAATTCCTTTTAAATAATCAATTCAAACTTTTGTTTTTTTACAGAAAATTTATTTTATTACCTTTTATTATAAGGTCCACGTCGTATCCATTTGATTGTATCACTTTTTAATTCATTGACCATTGATTGCAAATAATCTTTCTTTATAAAACAATAATACCAAGCAAACGATATATAAATGAATGTTAAATCATATTAAAGATTACTTGAAAAAATTCAGATAATTTTGTTTCGGAATTTTCTTGAAATGCCATTTGAACATCATATTGAGTTTCAACTTTGAGATATATGGGTGATATCGTTTGATTCACACGATCTAACTGAAATACATCAAATATAGATTTATTTCATAGGATAAGAAAACAAAACCAATTCTACATCAGACTGTTGAAATTTCGTTGCTGGTTTCGTGGCAGGTAATGGTTCAAAAACAGGTACTGCTCGTGGATTGATAGGACCATGCAGCCAACCATTAACCGATAAACGAGCTCCTTGTTTGTCATTCAAAACTTCTGCTACCTAATTGAGTTATAGAATTAATATTTTAATTGAGCGTTTTTTTTTTATTGTTTCAATGTGCATAAGAAAAATATGAACGTTCTCTACAATAAGAGTCTTTGATAAATTATTGAATTTAGCCGTTATCTTGAAAGTCTTATATTTGTATAGTTTTAGATGTCAATACGTGACATGCAATTTGTATTGCATAAATACATTCAATGAAAACGGTGTTTAAAGTGAACATTTGAAATTCTAATTTGGTTCTATTTGAATCAATTAAAATTACCTGATGATAAGATTTATCAGTAACTTCAAAGAAGGCCAATCGATTTCGTTTTGGTAATAATGATTTCGCTATATTACGTGGTTGATTTTCTTCTACAATTTCAAAACAATAATAACAAATACAATCCAAACAATTCTCAATTATATTTACCATCAGTATCAAATAGATCTAGTGCTCCACCATCTGTTTCTTTCCAATCATCAGGTACAAGATAATATATAAAAGCAACACGACGACCTTCGATTGTTCCATGTATATCATCATCATGACATAAAAGATAATCTTCAACGAAAAACAAACGACAATTTCGATAATTAAAAAAACAAAACAACCTTTAAAAAAAACTACCTGTGTAGTCATATTTTGAACATGTCATATCAATTTTATCACTGAAACGAATATCAGTTGTTTGTGCAAGCCAATCTTTGAAATCTACATAGACAAATTGCCTGGATTCGAATAAAAATATAATATCATTCGACATATCGAATAAACCCACTTGATCTGTTCAATAGCAGGCAATGTTACATTGGTTAAATCATCGGACTACATAAAAGAGAAAAATTATTTCAATTAATACGAAATTCCTTTTCTTTTGTTTTTAATTTTTAACCTGTTGAAATTTATATAAATCATTATTTTTTTGATTCATCTTGATATTACTTAATTCATTGATTAATTGACTACAAAATTGATCAACATTTTTATCGAGAACAAAATCATCGATAATACAATATGAAAATGGTTCATGTTCCAATCTTATAACTTGAAGAAATTTCTTTATTAAACTATATAATTTTCTTTGATATCATACAAACCTTTTTCATGAATTGGTAATCGACTTGTATAAGCATCTCGAAAACGTTTGATTAAATCATTATCAGTTAATATTGGATTAACTGATACTAAACGTGGTTTTTTTTCTGTTGATGACATTTTTTTTTCAAAAGAAAATTTTCTGAAAAAAACAAAAAAAGTTAAAACACGCAAAAGAAAATTCTAATTCTATTATATTTATGACTGATTTCGATTGGACAATTGGTTATCTTGTCTTTAGCCTTCATCAGAAATTTTTACCGAACGTTGATTGTAGCGTTGATGTTTTCTTTTTACCAATCACATAGAAGTTTGAAGAACTTGGTCTTTTTATCGTCCTTTGTTATTTCGTGTGCACGTGCTTAAAAACTAGGTGAACTTTTGACAATGTTTTTTCGTTTTTTCATTTTCCTTGAAAGATAAGTAGCATTTTCTTTGCTTTTATATGTAAATTTGTGTTTGCTGCAACTATGATTTATTATTCAATCGATAAATATTTTGTTCTTTATGTTCATAGATATTTTAAAAGATGTTCTTTATTCTGTTCATTAAAAGGCAGATAGAAGATTAGTCATGCACCTTCTTTTTCTTTTACTGGATTATGATAAAAAGATACATTAACATTCGAAATAGAATTTCAAATAGGTAAAGGTAAAACGAAATTCGTTTGTTCATTCACCAAGGAATATGAGAGAAAAAGCAGATATGTAAAAGTTGAGTGACAAAAGAAAGAGAAAAGAGAAAGCAGAACAAAAAAGAAAAAAAAAAGAATTCATTGAGCAATGGGACAACAACAACAGACGATTGTGCCTTATTACCTCGTGATCCGATGTTACTGGCGAGGTAAAAGAGAGGTCAACTGAAGGGAGTGAGGATTGAATAGAAAAGAAAGACGTATAATCAGCGAAGAGACGAACGGTCATATATCCATTTAAACACTTTTTTGTTGTTGTTAAATCACAAGAGCTCATTCTTCGAATTTTTATATCGAAAAAAAAAAGGGCAAACGGATTAAAATTGTTACAACGAGAAGTAGAAAAAGAAATATTGATACTTTTCAATCATATTATGAAGTCTATGTACATAGATATTCGATTCTCGATCAAACACATGAATTTTTCTTTTTATAACTCTTTCTTACTTTGGACATAACAGATACTACTTGGTTCTTTTTTTTTATAACTTAGTCCTATATGGCTTCCTTTTAATCAAAACTCATAGATGAAGATGAATTCTATTGTTTCTCTTCTATATGCTTTTTTGTAATGATATATCGTATTGCAACATATGTAGTTCTTTTTTTCCCGTGTGTACTCTTCACGTTTCAAGGTAAATTACAGTATACATTCTTTTTTATGATTTATGTCTTCTTATTTTGTTATGTCAATATAACAGTGATGAAGAGGGTGTGAGTGAAAGAGAAAAAGAAAACAGGTATGCCAAAAAGGATAAGAATGACCTTGTTATACAATTCTTCATTTCTTTTTTCTGAAAATTCTTTTTGAAAAGATGACGAATATTTTATGGCTTTTGTTATGTTATGTTATGTTATGTTTTTTCTTTCTCTCTTTCGAATATGTCTTTATCTCAGTTTTAGATCAATGGAAGTGATAAGTGGTGAAGATTCATCATTTGTTATTGATGAAGTATCAAATATAATTAAAGATACAATTGAACGAATTATTGGTGGAAATTCTTATCAACATAATAAAGTTAATCGATGGACAGCTGATATTGTTGATCATGTCTTAACTGAACTTACAAAATTGGGTAAACCATTTAAATATATTGTACAAGCAGTATGTGATCTATTTATTTATTATTTTTTGTCTTTATATGAATATATATATATTTAATTAGGTGATAATGCAAAAAAATGGAGCTGGTTTACATACAGCTAGTTCATGCTATTGGGATAATACAACTGATGGTAGTTGTACAGTTCGGTAACTATTATAATTCATTTTTATATAGGTAATTTATTTTTTGATATTTATTTAGTTGGGAAAATAAACATCTTTATGCAATTGTTTCTGTCTTTGGCTTATCTATTTAATATTAATTTTCAAACTTTTTATTTGTCGATTTATTCTTCATGTTTATCGTATATTTGTTTATTCTATGTATTTATACGAAATAATGCTTTGCTTTTTCTTTTTGTCTCTTTCTGTCTCTACGCATTAATAATAAATGAAATATAATATTAGTCGTCACAGCAATATATGCGCTTTTTTAAAATCTATTATTGCAAATATATGTGAACATTTTTCTTTGTTTTCGTGTATTTCTGTTTTGATTTAAAATAAATTTGTCCTATAAGTTTAATTATCTTGAAAACTTTTAGAAACTTGAAAAAAAAAAGATTATGTGTGGACGTTTTGCTTGTGGCTTAGCTCCTGATGTTGTACGTCGTTTATCGACTTATATGAATTCACAAACACAGGAATTAACATTACCACCATTTATTGATTTAATGTCTTCAATACGACCTTTTCGAGCTAGTTGGAATATATCTCCAACTTCGACTTGGTAATGATTAAGAATTGAATGATTTATCTTAAAATCAGGATTGAACAATTTGTTTTTCTTTTCTTAAATTCTAGTCTTTGTTTAATTTCGGCAAAACATTTAGATGAAACAGAAGATTCAGCAGCACGTGTTCTTTGTACGATGCGTTGGTCACTTGTGCCTCATTATCATAAAGGCAATTTAAATGAATTTAAACCTATTTTAAATAATTGTCGAGTTGAAACTATTGAAGAAAAACCAACATTTAAAGTACCATTAAGAAATGGTAAACGATGTGTTATACTTGCTGAAGGGTAAATTTGAACTGGTTTTTATTTAATAATTCTATAATCATTGTTTTTGCTTTTGCTTAGTTTCTTCGAATGGAAAAAAGATGTTTCAAAAACACCATATTTTATATATGAAACTGAACCATTTATTCATGAAAAACATTATCCAAATATAAATGCTGATCAAATTCTTGAAAAAATCGAAAAAGAAAATCAAGGTAAATTACCATTATTAGCAATGGCAGGTGTTTTTGACGTCAATCGAAATTGTGAGGTATAATCTCAAATATAAATACTTATTTAAAAACATCTTATTGTATTGTTATTTCATATAGGTGGATCCATTATATTCGTGTACGATTTGTACAGTCGATGCAAGTGAAACAATGTTAAATGTACATATTCGAATGCCAGTAAGAAAAAAAAATTGTCACAATTGTTATTTAAAAAAAACAATCTCTGATTGCCAGGCTATTTTAACAACACAACAAGAAATCGATCAATGGCTTGATTTTGGTCGATATAATACAGAAAAAGTAATGATCGACGAGCTTTTAATTGAGAAATAATTGATTGTTTAAAATAGGCTTTACCATTACTTGTACCACATAATGATATTCAAATGTATCGAGTAACACCAAGTGTAGGATCAACAAAAATAAATGATATGAACAATATCAGACCATTTAGTTCCGATCAGAATACGTATACAAAAAAAAAACATGACGACTAAATTTATGTATTTATTTATTTTTGTTTGGTTAATTTTAGTAGAACAAATCCATCAAATCGAAATACACTCGATTCATTCGTTATCAAACGAGAACCAAGTCAATATTTTGAAGAATCAATAGTAAAAAATGAAAAAAAGAAAACACCAAAAAAAACATCTGCAAAACGTACACAAGGCACCATCGAAGATTATATGTTTAAAAATACGAAATCATCGGGAAAACGATTTAAAAAATAGATTTTTCTCTTGTTAATTATTATTTATTTTCTTGTCTTTGTTAGCGAATTGTTTTGTCAGATATCTATATATATTTATTTTTTTTTTGAACTCTGTATTTATCTAGTCAAGCTGAAGAAGTAATTTTTATTATGTATTTTACCAAACAAGCATTATATAACTGATCTTAGATGTAAATTTAAACAAAAATATTTTTCTTGAATACAAATACATGGTTGATTTGAATAGTGATTAAATCATACTTTGATAGTCTTTTTCAAACTAACGAGGAAATTTACTAGATAATCGAATAACTTGAATTACCACAACCAAAGTTAATAAATTATATGTTTTAAAAAAGTATTCATGTACAAAGATATCTACTTGCTGAATATGATTGTTTTTTTAGAATTATAAAAATAAATCGGGAACATTTTTTGAAAGATGTCGCTTGGATAAGTTATTCACAGTTTTCTAATAGTATACCTTACTTACAATTTATGTATTTATCTTTTTTCCCCACACCCACACCCTTGTAATCCGTTGCTAATATTAGTGGAATAAATTATTGCTTTTTTCAAAAGCACTTGAACCATTCGCTAGCGTTCATTATGTTAATGTTTCGTAATAATTAGAAGCTATCTGCCATATTCTGACAAAATAACAAGAAAAAAAATTGAGTTCATGCTCAGTTTCTGAAAATGATGGTTAATAGTTCTTTTTCGAAGAGTTATATTTTTTACCGAACCTTTAGTTTCAAAATTTCTTGATTAAAAAGCCAAGAAATCATACAAAATATTCTATTAATGTTAGTAATAATAAAGTTTTTAATGTACTAAACTTTGATTTATTTTTTATTTGAAATTCATCTGTGTAGTTCAAAATAAGAGAGAAATATAGATTTTTCAAGTTGCAAAAACGTTGTAAGAACTTCTTTTTTAAAGCGATTTGATTTTCATCTTTTACTCATTCAGGGATTTTTTTTCTGCAAAAATGTGTTTACTACAAAATTTATAGTTCAGACATAGCTCTGTCCAATAAAAAATTAATTGGTTTAGAACTCAGCAATATGATCGATCTGGCTGAGTTTGACGTTTTTGCAAAGACTTACATCGCTTGTTACTTTGTCATGCAAGTGGATGTAGCTGAAACACACAACTGAAAAAACATGTACATCTTTAGTTTCGATTTACGTTATGAACAATAGAAACCAATAAAAAAAAGGAAATATCTTCAGTCAAATCACCATCGAACTCTGTTGAAAAACTCTTAAATACAAGTATAGAGTTGCCTATTTCTATTTCTCATATAGTAAAGATTGAATAAATAACTTGTAATTCATATCTAATGAAATAAAAATGTTCGAAGAAGCA